GTACGAATTAATTTTTTTCTTATCGTATTCTAAATGTACTTCCGTAAGAATCTCCAATATACAGAGAAAATTGACATTAGAATGTGCTGTCCCAAAACAGCAACTTCTGTAATGCCAATTGACAATGGAATCCACAGTTATTTAACAGACATTTTTAAAGAGTGTGCCAGCCAGCGTGCGTCAAGCACCTCAGTGGAAAAAGTATACATTTTTGGCCGACCTGTCCTGGAAAAATTGGCAATGCGCAAGAGCGTTATGTTCGATTTTAATTGGTGTCAAAATGACCGCAAAGAAAAAAGTTCAGCTCCTGCAAAAATACACTGCGGCGATATCGAAAAAAAAAATGTCGGGGAGGGGGGGATTCCGCCCCGGCTCTTCTGGGTTAAGATGTAGGTGTTTATATTGCATTTTTGTATTTCAAAACATTAAAAACGGTAAGGCCGGGGAAGGTGGCGATGAATTCTCCAAGCCCTCAACCCTTGGATACGTCCCTTCAATTAGCGTTATAATGTGGAAAGATCCTTAATTTTTCTGCTATTGTCACATTTTTCGTCTCCAAATGTTTTAAATGTACGGTTAGGTGAGAAAAAGTTACCCAATCTTTAAGACCCACCTTAAGGGTAAGTTCTGCACTCTGTTAGCGTGTATAGGTTTGACATAGCCTCTATCTTCAGAAAGCTTCAGTGAAATAAGGAATGCGGTCTGGACAGCATACAGCTTGTAAGGTAACTTTGTAGGCCTATAGCTTTCAAATTTAATATTTCATTTTATTTAGCAGCTTGCAATTAAACTGAATTACATGGTTATTACTATTAAAAACTTAAACGAAAGTATCTACGCACAAATAAAGAAATAAAAGAATAAAAAACCAAAGTTTACACATTAAAAAGGATACAGTTGAATTTTTTTCGAACGAAAATTCCTGTCAAAGTCATAAAGGTTTCCTTTTGTCGGCCCAAGGGGTTTCGTCCAGTTTCTATTCTTTCTTTTAAAAGTTATCTCCATCCTCTTTTAAATTGTGACCAATTGTACATCTTACAAAAACGTGCTGTCCGAATAATTTCTCATGCTGGATATTACGACCACACGGCCCCACTGTTCTCTACACATAAAGTGCTAAAGGTATTTGACCTTTATAAATATCACTTAACTTGGTAAATTTATGTATAAATGTATGAATGATAAGCTGCCACCGTATTTTAAATCATACTTTAAACTTACCTCAAATGTTCACTCATATCATACCAGAAGTACCTCTCAAAAGAAATTATATGTTGATACCAATAGAACTTCACTACACAAAAATAGTCTTGTACAATGCGGTGTCCAATACTCGAATAGTCTAAATGAAATTATAAAAGCAGCACCCACTTTATTAACAAAGTTGAAAAATCTAATACTTTCTGAATACATCACCTGTACCGACTAGAATTGTATTTTGATGCATTGTATTATCTCCTGTCTGTCAGTGTTTGTCCGTATGTGTATCATTGCCAAAAACATTTTCATGTCTTGTATTGTCCAATGCTGTAATATGTATGTCTGTCAATAGGTTAGGCTACAAAAGCAGATCTATGCTTCACCCTTTACCTAAATGTTGTTTTTTAACGTGTTAACGTGTTAATAAATAAACATAATTAAAAAAAATAATAATAATCTTCATTTCAATAAATCTTCGATTGCTACACGAGGGGACGAAATTAGAACGCTGCAAGTCTGAAGTATTCAATGGACTGATGGGGAGGGGCAAGGGGGCGTGGCCACCCTCAGCAGAGGTCGTGCATTTGAATTTTGGAAATGTACACAACCTACGTACAGGCGATAGTTAATTGGATCCCCCCCCCAAAAAAAATAAAAAATTGGTGAACCCCATGTCCTCCCTAGAAATTTACCCCAGTTAGTTAAGCCTGTTACGTCTTCGCTGAAATCCAGTGATGAATAAAGCAATTGATGTCGGAGATTCACCCATATGATGGGGGGGGGGAACTGATCTTGAAGTGAATACATCGTTTCCTGGAAATTTGTGTGATGTAAGCGTTAAATTATCTGAGAAAAACATCTGATCTAGTTGGCTGCCTGCATAAGGACAAGGGGAACTAAATCATCGCAGGAGACCCGTCTGTGGGCGATATCAAAATAAAAACCAACACCTAGCATTCAGTGTGCTGTTCAAGAAGTTAGAAAACAATAGGCCTACTTGTACTCCATAAGAAGGCTAGCCCTAAGTCAGATTGGAGTTTTCCTTTAGAATCATCTACCTTAATGCATGTAGTAACGTCAAATACCTTTAGATTATTTACATTAAGCGCAAACTTCAACACAGTTTAAACTGTTATATGCACGTTACATTTCTGAATGTTTTCGACAAAAATGAAGGAACTACAGATGTTAATAACCCGCAGGGCAATAAAAAAAATGGCGCCATTGGGTTGCAATGACTAAAGTCTATTTTTCAACGGGCGAACAAAACCTCGTCTGTGCTATTTTTCACTAATTTTCTCTTAATATACCTTGAACGTTTGAAGTGGATGTCCTGTTTTCATCCTAAAATCCTCAATGTTATTTATTCATTCAGAAACACCAGTTTCCAAGCAGACTTTATAGTTCTTGAGGTTTTTTTCATAGCTGTTTGTTACAGCCTTGCCTTTACTCTTCAAAATACATTTATTAAAGAACTTGGTTCCAAAGATGAAGAGGGGTTCCAAAGAGGGGTGTGAAGCAGGAGTAGCCCTTGATTGTGCAAGGGAATCGCGCCCGCATAGCTACTCAGTCATGGTAGTCCAATGTACGATGGTCTATGAACAAACTTACCAACAGTAGGAATTGCGCTTACTCTTTATAATTGGTAGATTGAACGTAAATGTCTGGCTGTGAACTATATTCATTGACCGTGCGCGTTTTGCTTAAATTTCTACTGATTGCCCTGCAGAGGCGTAGCGAAGGCATGGGGGGTGCCACGGTCAGTTTGCCGATTTGTAACTTGTTCGCGAACTCGTGTCTTGTAAAATTCACAAAGTGATTCGTGGTACGCTACATTTCATGCTTCAGGGGAAATGCCGACGGCAAACGTATACATTTATGTACTATTTTTTACTCTGTTACCGAACAAACCTCTATTTGCCGCTTGGAATTAATGGGGGGGGGGTGCTGCACTCTCCCACACACCCCCGGTCGGTTCGCCTCTGCAGATGGGCAAATCACATGTATGGACTTTGGTTTCACAAATTATCCATTGGTATGATTTGCGTGGCATCTATTTTGGGTAACACTTCAAGATGTTACACGAACCTGCTACCATGATGTGTTTAAACCTATGATGGTCATATTTCGTCATTGTATACGGCGCAGATGCAAAACATTAAGCACAGTTGATAGAACAGTATAAGTAATACGATAAAGAAATAACAAAATGAGTGGAATGTAGAACGTCAACTTTATTTCAAAAACAATTTTGTCGTCGAGAGTATTGTTGGGTTGACGGGAGTTGGACCATCGTGTGATTCCCTCGGTAATTTTGATTTCAAATATAATTATCGCCTACTACGTAATTCACGAAACTGATTACATATAACCAGTGGCATGGTTTTTGTCCGCGTTCAATTTGTCGGTTTGTCAAACTCGTTTAGATAAGACGACCGTGCGATCCAGAAAATCGTACTTGCCCGCAAGGTACTCTGTGGTGCTTCGGATGAAAGAACGAAACGGTTGAAGCAGTATCTCGTGCCTGCTTGACCTTTCTGTGAGTTCAAAAACTTGAAGGCTTCGATGAAAGCACATTTGTTAATAGTATACACTTGTATTACAATTCTTGTAAATTTTTGGTGTCCGTTCGTCTAATCGTGTATCTGACATTATTAGAAAAAGTAGACTGAATGCTGGTTATTCTTTGAAATGTATATTATTGCTTTGCTTCCAATGGTAGTGCACATGATCTCAATTCTCATGCAAGAAAAGTGAACAATTTATCTGAATTAAAATTAAAAGCACGACATGCGCACCGTCAGTTTACACCTTAGCCGTTTCATAACGGGTCCATCGCGCCTCTATGTCCTAAATAAACAATTGGGGGAGCAAACGAAAACCACAAGGAGATTTGGAGAAGGAGAGGGCCGACAATAGGCCAAGAAAATCCTCTTGAGCCTTCATTAGCATTACAGTGGGAGAGCGCTCAAAGATAGCAACTTGCACGACCCTATATGCAGTATCAACGCATGCGCTCTCTAGCTTGTTGAACATAATGACAGCACTATGGTAACTGGGGAATAAACTCCCTCAAGTCGACCCCCTCAGATCGTTTAATCCCCTGTTTCAGGGCTGATACAATCATCACACCACTGCCGGAGTGCTCTTCAGCTTACCGAAAGAAGAATGGGACCACCGTCTTTGAGAGTTCTACAACGGTAAACAGTTAATTGGAATATAACTGTTAAATTGGAGTGAATCCGAATTTGCCGCATGGACTTATGATATTAAAAGCACCACAGACTGTTGAATCTACAAAATATTTTACAATTTGCTGGTGTAAAGGAGATAGTTTGTCTCGGAAACTGGTTTAAGGTGGACAACGAGGGAAGAAGACGATCGATAAACGGTATTAACACTACGCCTTTGCAGTAGCGGTAGTGTGGTCGAGGGGGATCAGCAACTTGAAGCTGGCTAGCCACAAGATCTTATCGCCATGGCCAACTGATCAACCAAATATAGAAACACGTTTGGAAGTACAACGACCACAGGATGCTACGGATGTTGGATTCATTACAGTTGTAGTGAAAAGCAGACTCGCTGGCATTGTGCTATAGGTTGTTGTTTTTTTTTTTTTAGAGATTTTGGTGGATTGGAGTACAGACTTAAAATGGCTATGCATCTCATGTCAACCATCGCGGATAATGGGCATCATCGTGGAATCGGTCACTCTTACAGGTGATCATGAGGGAACCGGACAAGGCTGATATCAACATGAACACATGCTTCCCTTAGGAAGAAAGAATCTCCGATCAAAAATGCCTAACGACGATTCCAATCCGAACTTCAGACGTCTAACGAAAGAGTCACTGCGTAAGCTAGAGCTTAGACACAATGGGCCGAAGCCGGAGCGGGCATTCAGCCGTCTCAGCCTTATGTCAGATCCGGAAGAAGATGAAGAGGCTCTAGCCACCGGAAAGGTGTATGACACCGATCTTCTCGAAGGCAAACCACTTCCAGATCACCTGGGCACTTTCCCAAAATCACTTTATGGGAAACCAATTGAAGAACTTGATGCTGTTAGACAAGATGAGCGGGTAAGTAACACACAACGATAATTTTTGATATGCCACGAGTTCTTTCCTAGTTTCTCAAACCAGCTTACAATTATAGATTATTAATTTGGTTAACACATTGATAATCTGTATTCCGCGTGGATCTTGGGTTTGGTTGTGGGGATTGCAAGCCCTTTTCATCCGCTAATTAATGCAACGATAAAAGTGAAATGGAACTAAGTGTTAAACAGAATACAAAACCAACAATAACGCTTTAGTTCCATTTAAATTTATGAAAAGCATCGCAGTTTTCATTTTTGGGGTATTTTTCGGACTCCAGATGGTCATGTCTTGGACAGCCTTTCGACCCATTTGTTTGTTAACCCGCCTCCGCTTTCTGAAAGCTTGACTCACCCTGCAAAAATTATTAAATATTTTAAAAAGTCTGTGTTCTTAGTGGAGACTAGAGTGAAGACTCAACTCGTTTTTGCAGAAAATTTAAGACACCATGATGACTGCTTATCTTGTCAGAAAAATGTGTCTGAAATTAGAGTAAGACCGATACTGTCTGTGAATGATAAGGTTTAAAAACTGCAAAAGTCGTCAGCGTCGATCCAGTAATACCTTATCTTATAAACAGAGCAAAAACGTGAAGATGCGATGACAAAAGTCACAGTCAGCTCCAGTTCTAGTTGAAGCGTGCGTACACGAAGGTGCCAAAAATGGAATAAAATACTCGTTTCCTAGTTGAAATCATTTTAGACTTTAGTCATCAAATTCAAACAGTGTGTGTTTAATTACACCTGAACGCATTGAACTACTGTTTTAAACATGGTATGGTGCAAGATGCGTCAGTAGGTAATTGTGTTTTTAATTATGAAATAATGTGGCCGGCATATTTCTTTTTAACGAAAACTCTATGTTTGAACAAATGCTCATGTCTGAATTTCACACTAGAAAAGTCGGTACTGCCAAAAAATCTCACACTTAAAAAATGAAAAAGAAAGGGTTTATATGATGACCCTCAAAAACATCCTTTTGAGATTCGTGTAGCCTTGACAAAAACTGGTAATTCGTAGTCTTTGTGGAAGTTCTCCTGATGTTAATTTATGAAATTATGGAAACATAGACTTGTTTTCTGAAACAAAAAATTAATAACCCCTGAGCGAAAATGTAGACAACTCATGAAAAAACCCGAAAATTACAACTAGAAACTCGTCACAAAGCTTATGTCCTTTATGAAAGTTTTTTAATGTTTCGTACTTTTTCACATTTATGCCATAGTGTTGCCATAAGTTGTTAATGTGAAGAGGCGAACATTGAACTAGAAAAGCCTGCATGCGTATTGGGAAGTTAGACAAGCGTAGAACTTCTAAAAGATTAAGGATTTGAACGAAATGCTTCGAGAACTTGTTGTAGAGTTTAAACACAAAATGTTGGGTTTTGTGAGCGCTTCATGCATCAAACGTAATCAGACGTTTAATGATAAACACCTCGGAAATGGATGATCCATCAGAATTTACATTGAGTGATTTCGGTGAATATCGTTTAAAGGATGATTATATTCCACTGTTTGATACCTTGAATCCTGTCATTCATTTCAAGTTCTTACGTGAGATATTAATTTCTTTATCTTCATCCGCTCCCTTTGTCATAAAATTAAGAACAAGGACAGATTAGAACCAAATTTTCAGGCTGCCAAACTTGTTTGGAAATAATTTGGAAATATTTTCATGTCTATGTCCATTTTCATGTAAGCTTTTATGGCCTTTTTGAAGGGGGCGATGGTACACTTATTAAAGGACTTCCAAAAGGCATTTTCAAGTGAGGAAAATGACTTAGATTAAGTAGCTTTTCTGTTCCATTTTTCGAAATAAAAAGGCCTGTTTTTTCGGGGGGGGGCGACATGGCCCTTGTTACCTCTTACCTGGGACCCGCAAGAACACTCAGGCAAAATACAGCGTATGGACAACTTTTTTAACTAATCAACATACAAAAGCCACTCAAGTGTCTTTTCAAGGAGTAATTTGCACAGTTAGGACTACACAGGAGCGATCTCTGGGATACCGGTATTTGAAAATGTCCTCATTCTCCGTAGTAATACGTCACCCGCCCTCACTGCAGCAGAATACAGTTGCGCGCCAACATGCTCGGTGTTGGTTACTGTGATGAGGCACAAACAACTTTCCCAAACTATCCAAAACAAGGGGTATCCGTTCAATATCAGACCCCTCCAAAGAACCATCGTTCGATATTCTGCCAGGGTTTGTGTGGTCGACACAAAGACGAGGCACAGTTTGCCAGGGCCTCTATCGATTTCCATTACTGCCTAAAGATGTGACGTCAGTGACAAACTATTGAAGGTTTGCATCATGGGATTGTAATTTGGTGCAAACTTCCAAAGCTTCAGTTATCTCAGACATTATTATGATTAAAAGACAAACCTCCTGGCTATCAACATGATATGCAAACCATCGATCAAAATTCTATGAAGCAATGCACACCAAATGTTACAAAAGAAAAACAGCACTTGTTTTACCTTATAGGCCTACCAACAGTATCAAGTACATGTATTAGAAGCTGGATGGTGATTATTGATTTGTTACTGTTGATGAGCAATTCGAAATCATCGGACTCAAGACCATCTTGATTTAAGGCCCGCCACTCCAGGCCACGCCAGTAGACGTTGTTTAATGGTACAATTACTGTCAATGTGTGTGCTATTCAGATTTCAATTAAAGTGCTCAAACAAAACGCTAATTTTAGATTGTACTCGGCTATTGTACTAATTATGCAAGTAGAATGAGCTAATTAGTGTCTGTGCTGCATTATGTACACTGAGGACATGGTTCTTCAAAGAACGTAACATTTTTTTTAAATTAAGTTTGCAATTTGTAGACAAAGTGGAATGAATAACGTATCCTAAAACTTGTATTCATTCCCTACAAGGAGGATATTTTTTTTACATTTTGGTCAAACTGGTTCAGATCGCAATGGGTAGATTTTTGGCAATTTTTGTCTTTTATTTGCTTATTTTTTATAGTCAGGAAAGTAACGTGCGAAACAAAATAATGCGGATAAGTATAGCGTATGTGTGTGTATATATACAGTTGGGGCAAAAACATTTACATACCCTTGGTCGGAAAACATTTTTCCTCAATTTTTCGCTGTAGGAAATAGTTTTGCCAACTTTTTCTTTTCTTAGGTCAGATAAACTGCATCTGTCATCTGAATGTTCATAGTGTTTACTTCAATTTGACTTCTCAGAGACATTTTATATTGTTCAAAATTTCTGAAAAATCATTTGTGAAAATTTAGAGCTAGGCCTATTGTCGTTCAAAAACCACTTCAGAAAGTGGTCTACTGCGACTATGAGATGTGACAAAAATACAGAAAGTGGCGTTAAATATTAGGGTTGGAGTATGTTAACTTCTGATTTTTTGGTTAATATAAATATGAATCATGTATATGTCTCTGGGTGTTTTTATTTGATGCATACACCATGTACATTAAGTGGAGACCTATCTTGTCTGTCCTCATGAAAAGAAAAGTTGGTAGGAATGCGTGAAATGAAGTGAAATTCGAGGAAAACTGCTTTTGTTCTACCAGTTGTATGTAAACTTCTTGCCCCAACTGTATATAAGTATCACATCAATTCAAGTCATCAACACATGCCGAAAGAACTGTTGTGGGATCCAGTCTTCTCTGCTTGTGCAAAATTCAGGTCTCTCCATTAGGTGAATGTGTTCAATTGTTTACAGTGCATTTGTTTTATGTTTCCATTTTTACTGAAATGTAATTCTTGCAGTCGTAATTTGAAATCATTTGCAATAAAGGTGATATATATCCAATCCGTGACTACAATTCAATTCAGTTTATTTATAATTAATACAATGAAAAGAGCAACAGACAAGCAGAATGGTGTTAGGTAAACGCACCCACTACCTTTGGGTTTATTATGAATATTAATAACGACAGATTGAAGGATTGGAGCGATATACGCTCTTATTAGAAAAGACTTTGAAAAATTCCTGCAACACTTAAGATGACTTACAATTCGATCCAAATCCTGTACGCTTATCAACCTTTAAACAGAGTTTGTGTGTGTACTCATTGAGTGTTAAGGGTCTTTCAGGAACAAAGCCAATGACATCATTGTTTAACTAACCTACAGCATGAGTTGATGCAAAATTTGTAATTTCAATTGGCCGTGTTAAACCACGAATGAATTCCGATACGTGCAATAAAGGTAATACGTCCACAACGCTAACTACAATCATCACTTCTGTCAAAATAAATACAGTGAAAAGTAGCAGTAGACAGACTGAATGCTGTCAGATAAATTAAACGCAGCCGTTACCTTGAGGTTTATCATGAACAATAATAAAGAAAGATTAGGCCTAAGGAATGATGCGATTTACGCTCTTATTATATGAGACTTTGGAAAAAAATTAGAGCCACAGTTAAGATGGCCTACATTTAGTTCCAAATCCTAACCGGCTTAATGTTTATCAGCCTATGACTGAAACGACTCATCAGGGGTTGTTTGTGTACTCGTCGAGTGCTGGGGTCTTTCAGGAACAAAGCCATTCTTAAGGAAGCCGGATAAGCGCTTAGATTCCAAAGAACTCTCGTCTTGAAGATGATGAGGGTTTGAAGAATGACACAAGAGGAAAGTAAAATAACGCACGTTGGGTTAGAGGTGAAGATTTATATTTTCTCCGATCTCTTAATGGAATAAACGTATTTGTGATTACAGCGATGGAGGGTGCATAAAACTTCAGTTCGTGTCCCCTCATTATATCAAAGTTTAACTTAACCAATACACTAACTGATCATTGATGTAAAATGTGTAATTTATTTGCTGTGTTGTCATCGACTAGAAATGCTGACATATGCACCCAGTGTCACAAGTCCAGCTTTTGCCGTGAAGCATTGACATTCATGCTTATATGACGAGCACAGTTCAGAAATACTTGGAAAACAGTCTACTGAGGCTCGCTCAAATTCCAACTGACAACCGAAGCGTCGCTTTTGATGGGCATTTTCTAAAGAGTCCTCATTATCAACCCGAGAGAGATCTAAACCTTGCGCTGTTCACTAGAAGACGCTCACCCAGGGCGATTCATCATTGAGCAAGCAGTTAGGACAAACGTCCAATTGTCCTCCACAATGGACCTAAACGTCCTCTCACGCAGAGAATTTTTCGTCTTCTGAGAGGCTGTTTTCACACGAATGATTGTGTCAGAGTTCGTTATTGTTGCAAAGATTTACAGGTGCCTTTTTTGAGGCACAATGATTCGAAGATGTTTGGCAGGGCACTATCAGGGTATTGAGTCTTCGAGTTGTCATGTGACTCCTGATTCTCAAGTCAACAGATCCAAATTACACACCAGAGCAGACTATTCGTCCTGCTCTTGAGAGAGGATCGTGCAAATTTGTCATGAATTACAACAATTCAAACCAATGAGGAAGATTTCATTGAAAGATTCAAGTTTGGTTCATCCTCAAGACATCATTTTCAAAATGTAGAGATTACAAAACCATGCCCATCTATGTAACTTTATTGCTTATTATTTTTCTTATTCAGACATTCTGCCTAGTTGGTAGACGGTTCGGTAAGACCAATCTCTTCAGGTTCAGCTCCACCAAATCTCTACACCTGCTGACACCACTGAATCCCCTCCGGAAAGCAATGCTCTTTCTTCTAACGAACCAATATCCTTTGTTTTAAGTGAATGTTAATATCGAGTATTTTTGTTGTCAGCCCCCCCCCCGGTTCCGCGCCTTCTGTAATTGTAATGGTACGATGATCCCGGCAGAATCTGAATGCCATATGGAATAAGAGGAAAAAAAGGATCATCGGACGCTGCAACAACATCCATGCACGTCACATTGATACATTTCCATTCATTTCATTCATTTAAGACTTTATATTTACTTCCTTAACATTTGCTGTACATTCTTTGATGTACTAGTCATCCTCACCATTTTAGTGAACTGTGGCTTCCTAGCAATGGATGCGCCTCGGTTTGATAGCAGCGACGAGTAAGTTCACTTAATTGGTTTGTTAGAATGAATGTCCCCTCTCTTCTCTGTGAGACTAAATCCTATTAGATCCATTTGCGTTATATTACCCATGGTAATAGTGATTAACAAGGGATGGTAGGTAATTAATAAGTAACATTGCACATTTTGTAGATTATGACTTTCGCTCAGTAGCGTATCCAGCTATTGGTGTGGGTGTATGTGGGGGGGGGGTTCAAGAGCGAATGTGGTCTCGGCCACATTCAACTTGATGTTGGGAGAGCAAAAAATCAAAAGTCTTACTCACGGTCTCGGCATCCTTGCTTTATTTGTTGGTGGTGTTTTCTTAGGGTTTGGTGACGCTTTTTGATAATATGCCGATTACTTTCTTTCCTTCTCGCGTATGATATATCTTTATTCAAATAGGCTTATTTTGACCTCACACATGGGGGGATGCATTCCATGCCAATTTGGGCTGTTCAGTGACTCACCTCTTGTACGTAAAGACGTCAGTGAAGTTCAGTTCAAATCGACACGCACGTAGCGTTTTGTTGTTGCGGTCATTTTGTACGCTTTGAAGTGTGTGAGTACGTGATGCAGCTCTTGCCAGTTGGAGAAGGTGACGTTTGAGCCAACCTCTCTTGTACAAATTGAGTATTGTGCCTGACGGATATAAGACGTATTTTCATAACACTGACCGTAAAATTACCACAAAACACGATTAAAATGTATCACGACGATACTGGAAGGAGAATATACAGGTATGGATTCCATCCTCAACCTTTAAGATTAAAATGATCAGGATTATTGTCTTGGTTTTTGTAGAATAATTCCCTTTTCTACTCTTTATCCACAGACCATTGGTTTTCGAAATATCCGAGTAAGTGATGTTTGAAACGTTAATTTTTCATTAGCTGAAAGTTGAACCTGATTTTCTTTTTACAAAAAATGACGCTCCCAAGATTCAATATTCCAATCAATTGCACTAAGGTCGAGGGCAGTTGGTTTCAAGTATACATTGAACTTAAGGAACGTCATCTGTTTGCAAATTAAGATTACTCCAAGACTATTCGAAGACATTTGATCGTATCACGAACTTTCACTGTATAGTCTATACAGTGTACTTTGTTTCACTCATTCAGGTCTGTCTAAGACAGTAAACATCAAGAAATTATAATAGCCTCTTTATTTTGGCCATACCCACGCACTTTTTGTTCAAGCAACACTACGTCGGGAAAAAATTCGATTGTATTAGCGGACCTTTTAAAAAAGTTTTCCGTTTGATTTTCATTACATTGGATTCGTCATATTTTATCTTTGTTAATTCAATGCAACAATACGTCATTTATCTTGGAATGTTGGCAGTAATTCTGTAAAGGTGAAACGGATATTTGTTGTTTTGTTTTATTACTTTATATTTCCTCATGCTTTTTACAAATGCCTGTTATCTTAATCAGCCCCAAAATGCTTGTCATTTGTAGGATCGTGTTTACAGCAATATATTCCACAGAGATGATCGTCAAAATAATCGCCAGGGGATTTGTACTGCAGAAGCATACATATCTACGAGATCCCTGGAACTGGTTGGACTTTAGTGTCATTCTTCTTGCGTAAGTAAATTTTCTTTGTGACAGCGTGCATTTGTCCTCGGTGTAGCTCTTTAATTTGGTGTTATTCACTTTTGGGGAATCATTTATGAAGGCTCCAAAACTGAAATAAGTTAGCATCAATATCTAGGTTCTTTGAAGTCCACTGCTGCATTGACTGTTTTCGGTCAAAAACTGTTATTTGAAAGGGAAAATAGTTGTACTTTTGACGATGTCAACATTTCCTTGACCTCTCGTCTCCTGTGGACTGTCTGAGTTATAGTTTATAATGCAAAATTTTTGAATTTCCTTCAGTTTGGAATTGTATATAAATCGTGTGGCAAACCTTGTTACGAGCGAAAAATTAAGCGTTTTAGAAGACAATAATTTTTCAAATGATCTCACAAGCGTTCCCTGACGGTATCCAAGTAAAACAAGAGACTTCAACAGAGTGAGTTTCGTCGAAAAGGTCAAGTAGATATTCTTTCTCTGACAGTTAATTAATGATGTTACATTTACCGTCCTTTCCCTTTGTAGGTACGTGACATTCTTCCTTGGTTTTTTAAATGTACCAGTCGGCAACCTCTCCGGTCTTCGAACATTTAGAGTGTTAAGAGCTCTCAAAACCATCTCTGTTATCCCTGGTAAGACAATTTTGATCGGCTCCTTTGACTACACATTGTTTCTTTATGTTGATTTGCTTTTCGTTCCGTATTTTTGTTGTCGATGTCAATGTTTGTTGTCGAGGTCGATACTTTGGGGGTATTTGACGCCCTGAAAAATAGTACTTTCAAGCAAGACATGGCATTACAAAAATCAGTCTACCAGTAAGTCTTTACCTGTTCCTTATGAGCACCTTGTTTGTATTTTGTATTGTCAGTCATTGTGGATTGTCAGCAAGGAAACAAGTCAGGGTTTTCTATTTCATTAACTTTCGGCGCAGCAATTCATTTCATAGAATTCTAAGCAAAGTATGCACATCATCATGAACCATGCATTTGTTTAATATCTGATGGGCAGGGATTCAAATTCTGGAAACTTGTGCATAATTGACAGGTCTTAAGAGCATCATCAACGCCTTACTACGATCGTTGAAGATGTTAGGGGAGGTGTTGTTATTGACTTTCTTTGGACTTGCCATCTTCGCCCTGCTTTCCTTGCAACTCTACATGGGAGTTCTACACAACAAATGCGTTGTGGACTATAATATCACTGTTTTCAACGACACTGAGGAGGACTGGTATAACTTTGTGCAAAATTCAAGTAAGTTTCCAACTTGTCTTTATACCTTCAGGAGCTTTTTATAAGGACAATATATATTTATGTCTGTGTGTTTCCTTCCCTCCAATGGTGACCGTAAGGTGAGGCAAAGACTAATGATGGTGTCACAGACTGATGACTACGAAGACACATACATACTGCGATTTTGTGCTGATGCGAGTCCGGGGCCCAGTTTGGTAAAATAAACGGATTAATCAATGCAACGGTACTTTCCCTATTCCTCAGTATAATGTTGCTACTGTGATGGCCGATGACGTATACCGATTTTTGATCAAGTAAACCATAATTAAAAAAAAATTTTCCCACGTAAGTCTTATATAGGGAAACGAGCCTCGCAGGGATGTTGGGTGACTTGAACTGAAACCAGTGTAAGAATTATAGAAACACATAACATAAAGTTGATCTGGCAAGTTTGCTTATACAAACGCTTGTTCTATGTTCTAAACTTACAAAAGGTAATTTATCCTACGTAGAGCCAAAATTCAATCAAGTGCTTTCAAATGCAGAATGGTTGTAGATAATTGACCTAGGCCTATATTGACGTATTGAAAATGCCGTAGCAACTAAATACTACGGAGCAGCCAAATACTTTGGAAAACAGTGATTTATTTGAGAACAGTACTTTGTTAGGCATCTTGGCCACAATTCCAGCAACCGAAATTTGACAATTCTTCTCTGCTTATGTTGATAGCGAACTGGTACTATTGGGACGGTGAGCCAAGGGTGTGCAGTAATATATCTGGCCCAGGGTAAGTAAGGGTCAACCTGCCTATGTGCTACTTGCTTGAACAACAGAAAGTTCAGTTTTGAACAAAAGACTACATGTCCCTAAGGGCAACCTGCTCCCCTGAATACACCAACGAGGTACAATGCGGAGTCCTTATAAACCCTAAACCAAGGAAATTGGCAAGTTTAAGGGTGTGCTATCGCAAGTTGTCAATTTCAGATGTTCACATGAATGATAGAGTCCTTCGCTTGTGTACATAGATTTTGAAGTTTTGCTTTAAAAAAACAAAGCCGCAAGGCAAAAATGTTTGTCTTGGATGACGTCTTATTTGTTTTGAGACTTTTAGTTGTGGGGTGAGAATCAGTCTATAAATGAGGCCGATTTTGTTGCGCTCTGTCACGGGCATTGTGCGTAATCCGGTTCGTAAGTATGACGTCACTTCAGTTTAAACCACACCCACTGCACACGTGCACTACACATAGGGTTACATGCATTGATCGCCGTTCATGTGGAGCCATGGAACCGGAAGTTAACGCGCAACTTCTGCGATCGTCCATTGGGAGCCTGGAAATCGTGTGGCGCGTCCACCTTTGTGACGAAGTTACTTACGAACCGGATAGGACTCAATGTCTGCAACATACCCTACATGTTTCTTACAAGAAACTATAGAGGTTCGAGTGAATGCGCTATCTTAAGCACAGATGTTATGCCACACTATGTAATGTACCTTTTTATGGAGGCAGTTAACTGATATCTTCGTTTATGTGAGCTGCATGCCGCAAAAATGGAAACACTTGTAGAAAATCTTGTGCATCTTAAAATTTTCCCTTTTTATGTATACCAGCTTTATGGACACAAAATGTTAATATACAATATGGTCACAAACTGTTTACCTACACATTTTCTTAACTCGCATGTATCCAGTGAAATTGTCATTGGTTTCGACATGTCTGTAACTGAAGGTGATCGCTGTAACATTTACTGATGTTCTTTTTGTTTATTTTTCTCTTTCTGTGTAATGCTGAATACTCTCAGACGGGGATGGAGGTGAGTTTTACTTTCTTGACTCTTCGTTAAATAACAACTACGTTTTAAAAACAAGGAAAACAATGAAAAGGTTAAACCGTTGTTTCGACATAACGGCAATTAAAACCGCAGAAATTTAAGTTTCAACCGTACCAACTGGATTACATTGCTCATAAATGCAATTGTGCCATAATCTTCTGAAAATGCCAATGTAATAGTGTAAGTTCCGAAATGATTGTTAGAAGATAAGCTTCGCCGCCGTAAACACATGTAAACAGAAGGAAATTATCTTGCAGACACATTGCTCCTACTTTTAAAACCTGGTCACAAGCTTAAACTCTTTGACATTTGTTTTGCTCACAGTCCATGTCCTGAGAACTATACGTGTCTAAAGGACATTGGGCCCAACCCTAACGGCGGATACACAGGCTTCGACAACATTGGGATGTCTTTACTTACGTGCTTCCAAGTCGTTACATTGGACTTTTGGGAAGACGTCTATAATTTGGTGAGAATGAGTTCTTTCAGTTTAACATATCTGCAATGTCTTATGCATGCAATTAATTTAAAGGCCATTTTCAAGCCCACCTCTGTCTTACTAATACTGAGGTCTTACCACTCACCCCTGAGCTTGTCGGGATTGGCTGCCAAATTTACCTCCGTTAATTTCACATCAGACAAAGCAATGGACGCCCAATCAGATTTTGAACCTACTTGTATTATGATGCTTCATTTAAAATTAATTTGTTGCCTTTTCTGGTTTCTGTGATTGCTCTTTTACGCCTTGTTTATTTCAGATTATTCGTGCGACTGGTCCATTGAGCATGCTATTCTTCTTCATTACCGTCATGTTTGGATCATTTTATTTGGTTAATCTCATGCTGGCAGTGGTATCTCTGGCATACACAGAGGAGATGGAAAACCAGGGAAAGGTTGGTAACCGAAGCACAACAAAATGTTAAACATATAATGAATAGGTATATACCAGCGTATATGGCCAGGTAGCGGTGGATACATCTTTAGACAGTTACTGGTTGTATGCATACTGGTCGATAACTGACGATGAATAAGGTATATCAACTATTTGTGGATAGATCATGACACGGTTCAAAGATGCTGAAAAGTTAACCACGGTAAGACTATAGTTTAATGCTTCTTAGTCCAGTTTAAGTTTGGTATGGAGTGGTTGAAATGTGAAAATGTATGTGTTGGGAGATAATGTTACCTTAACAGGTCACATGAACCACCATGCGTAATTGTGTTATGAACTCCGGTAGTGGGAATATGATTCTAACGTGACTGAAAGCTTGAAAAACGTCTAGTCCCTAAAGTATGCTTAAGCGCACCCTTGCATCAAAAGGATCCTGTTTCCTTAATTAACAGTATATCAAGTAATAGTATGAACTATCCTCCCATTACTTGCAGGAAAAAGCGTTGAAAGCACAGCAGATTCGCGAAAACGTTCTCAGTATGGACGCTGAGAAACTAAAGAAGCTGGCAGAGAAGAAACGAAAGCGGAAAGAGAGACGGGAAAAATTGCGCCAATTACAGTTGAAGCAGCTTCAAGAAAACGATGCAGGGCAAATTAGCCAGTCTAACCAGGCATTCGTCGACATTGAGAAGATGGATAATGGCAGTGACAGCACATCTAAGGTTTCTCAGGTAATTATTTATCAGGAATAGCTTTTGTGGAAAAAATTTCTTCAATTGGAGTGATATATTCTCCAATACGGTGTGAACCAAACACTGAGAGAAGAACCAGGTGATTCACATCACTTGGAACAAGGAATAATTCTCATAGTCTTAAATCCTTCCGCAAGTATCATATCTGTTGGCTTGTACTTAAATCTCTTTCTTTGCCATTACAATGCCTACCAAAGGATGAAATTCAACGCGGTTCTCTGCAAGATGAAGTGAGTATAAGCCTTGCAAGATAATTTCAAACTATTCGTCTTACTTGAGGTAATGCTAATGTGTTACGTCCAGATAATTGTTTTCTGCCATTACGTTATATTTCAACGAAGGATATTCGGATTGCTTGATATTTAACCCTGACGGGTCTATGACAGTAAAACTTCAACTTTTTCACGACAATCATTGGAGATTTTTAAAAATTCCTCTGTGTTTCTTTTCTTTTAATCTTAAATATTTGTTCAATTGATTCGTTATTTTTGGTTAGTTTTAAAAGTGTTTAGTGCCATTCTGATTTTACACTGATGCCAGATATTCACTGTAATAGTTGAAGGGAACTTTTTATGTAGCATTTAGTTGAAGCGGAGAGGCTGCACTTTTAAATTGCGATCTCTTGTTAATATCACTTAAATTTTTGCAATGCTTCCGGGCAAAGGACATAACATCTGTACAGGAACTCAACGATGATAGTGACAACGTAAGTATGCTGACCCAGAATCACTAACGTTCGGCGTGCTGTGTTGGTGTATTGTTCGTGTGTGTAGATGATTTAAATTGGAAGAGCGGTAAAATCAATATTTTGAAATACTGGCTTCCAAACTACAGCTATTCACATCTGCTGTGGTTAAACCACGCTATCGCGAAAAATTACGCTATTGAAAATTAAGCTATAAAGGAGTTTAATATTTGCCGGGTTTTTTTGCGCCTTTCTGATAATGTAATCAGTTATTTTTTAGAGTTGTACCGCCATTGATCATTATTACTACATCGTTACCAGATAAATGTACATGTCGACTGATATCCAAAGCCACATGCACCCACAGCTTAACAACGAATGCCAATGTTTAAGCAACAGATTCAGCGTAATTTCATGAGGGATTGTGCTTGTTGTCTTATGAGATATCAAAGTGATTCATGCCCTATTGTCTCTTGTACTTCACACAGACCTATACTAGCCAGTTGGTGCACATTTCTCGTCGTAATATGAGTGAATGTTTCTTTGGAATTTTACCTTTCATGAAACTTATTCTTAACAGAAAACTGAGGGTGGTGATGCCACAGAAGAATCCCCAGACACTAGTAAGGAGGAATCTAAGAGTCAGGCGGACAATGATGACGATGAAAACATGACTATTCAAAGTAAGTATTACAGTAGTATGTATTAATGGCCAGTAGTTGTTCAATAGAAATACCGCTTTTGTCCTGTGAAGTCCTAGTTATTACTATTATTTGTGATTTAATCTGCGACATTGTGTCCAACGAATTATAATAATTGGCAAAACTTGCGTTTCCAATGTTGGTGATGTATAAGGCAGACTTCATGGTTTCAATGCGCCGTTTCAAACTTCTCATACTTCTCAAAGTAACCAAAGTGAGGTATACCGGTAGTCATGACATCAACTTTTGTTCCGTCCCATCAGATCCAGACGAGACTGATGACGGATCAAACGAGCCGGTACCATGCTGCCCCCGTCAGAAACGATGCCGTCGCTGTCTGATTCCTCGGAGCGTCTATCGCGCCTACAAGAAACTCCAGTACTACGCCGCACTCTTCGTGCTTGACCCCGTTATGGATTTGTTTATCACATTCTGCATTTTACTTAATACCGCTTTCCTGGCCATGGATCATCACATGATTTCTTCTACATGGGAAACGGTGCTTGACATAGGAAATAGGGTATGTACAGTATTATGTTTAGCATGAAATGTATGCACGTCCATGGAAAAACGTCACTGTAACCACAGTAACACTGACTTAATTGCGAATACGAAAGCATCCTTAGTACCAACAGCGAATATAATGAACAAACCTTAATGGATTACTTGAAACCAGCGGTAGAGTCTAGTAATTTTTCATAAATCGCCCACACAATATGTACATGTAATGGATTTTGGGTAGGTCAATAAGTTTACTGAGAATTTAATGAAACCAACACTTGCTTTTATTTTATTCCTTGAAGGTGTTCACTGCAATTTTCACCATTGAGTGCGTACTGAAGCTGATCAGCTTAAATGCGAAATTTTTCAAGACCGGTTGGAACATCTTTGATCTCATCATTGTCGTCTGCAGTTTGGTTGAGCTAGGATTACAGGGTGTTCAAGGCCTGTCCATCTTGAGAACATTTAGACTTGTAAGTTCAGTTCAGATTTTGTTTTTTAAAATTGTGAGAAGATTTTGCCTCTATAGTAATTTGAATATTTATTTAAAAAAAATCACTCATAAACTTCCAACATCTTACAATTTTCCAAATATCCAAAAATTGAAGCAATATCGAAGCAATGAAATCCGTGATCAATTGGTTAGTTTCCATTAATTTACCGGCACTTTTTTTTTACAGCTTCGTGTGCTGAAACTTGCTCAGTCTTGGACCACAATGCGCATGCTCATTTCCATCATCGGCAACACCATGGGGGCCCTAGGCAACGTATCTTTCGTCTTGCTTATCATTGTCTACATCTTTGCTATCATGGGCATGCAGCTGCTCGGCAAAAATTACACCGAGGAGTTCTTCGGTGAAGGCAACTTACCACGCTGGCACTTCAGGGATTTTACCCATTCCCTGTTGCTAATTTTCCGCATCCTTTGTGGTGAATGGATTGAGCCGTTGTATGACTGTATGGATTGCTCTGATCAGGCAACTTGTATTCTCATATTCACGTCTTCATACATGGTGGGAAATGTGATGGTAAGTGAGAGATCTTGTACAATGTCATGTTGTTCATTCTTAGAAGCACATTTTGTTCAACATTTTGCTCAAATGACACTGGTTACAACTAGAGACGTTTTTTTGCTGGCGCTCAAGTTGATAAACTTTTACTTGAATGTTGATACAATTTTACTTGAATTATAACATGGCTGAGGTAATTTTACATCGTTTTCTGGGAAGAATGACAATGCCTACAATCGTTTCTCCGATGATTGTTGCAGTGCAAACGTGGAAGTGGTGTCGCAAGGCTCCATTTGGAGATTTAAACATGGGTTATAAGAGATACAAATGCTCTGCATTATTGCGGTATGTCTTAAAAAACATGCTGTAAACTTTGAAAGATTTCAATTAGAGAGTTAATGATTAACAATTAGTGTATTGAACTCGAAAAAGAGTGGCAGTTTATGCAGGAATTTCTTCTTCTCTTTCAGATACTGAATTTGTTCCTTGCTCTTCTCTTGAACTCCTTCGCCTCGGACACTCTACAGAAGGAAGAAACGGAAGAAACACGCCTTGGCCAAGGCGTTGCCAAGGTCAAACGCTGGGCTAAAGCCCTTTTCCGAATGTGTTGTTGCAAGTTTCGCCGATCCACTAAAGTAGGAGTTGAGGAGAAGGAGATGAAGGACTCGAAACTGAATGAAACTAATGGTGAGAATGACACCGTCATGAACCAGTCAACAAAAGTCTCCACAAAGCTTACAGTAGTTGATGACGATGACAGAATTTCGCAAATAAGTTTGGATCGTGAAGAACATGGTATAAAATGTGAGTCATGGGTGTGGTGTGGTTTGAACAAAAATGTTTGCTTGCTGTGACATTCCACATCATTAACGTCATCATGAACAGTTTTCTCCATCTGTGTGTACTGACAAACGAGATTGCAAACCAAATACACCATGTAAATTTACGGCCAGCTATTTTTCATTTTTGAGAATAACATGAAGTGTGTGAATATCTATACATTTACAAAGTACTAACTTCCTATTTAATCAACTAGTCCGCGTCACTTAGTCCTTGTACTTCCTCCTGACTATAGCCCATTCACTGCCAGAGGGACTGAAGCCTTCGATGCCCTTTACTTTTCGTGTGCTCAAATGTTGTTTCTTTAAAATGTTGTTTAAAAAGACACAAACATTAATGTTACGATAGAGGGTGAAAGTCCTCAGTCGGCAAACCTTTTTTTGTTGCGCGATTAAATTGTTTGGAGCATGAAAGAATTTCAGTGCGTAGACTTCCAAAGCAGAAGAGGGGAGACGCTAAAGGCGACTCCAAACTTCCACTAACTGGATATTCCTGGTCTCAGAAAAAGTTTTGAGTGCTTACACTTAGAAAGCATTTGATGGTTGCATGTCTACTGTGCTAGATTTTATGCACTTGCGTTACTTTACTCCTAAATGCGATCGTAATGAATACATAAATAAAACCTTTTACTTTCCTCAAATCAAGCAGAACTATAGGTTTAAGAAAGTATAATTTTTTCAAACCTCGAAGCTTATTACTTTGGATTCTTTTCACAAGTTTGATAGAATAACTTCAAATCAGTCACTGGTAATAATTACATGGTGTGGTTTATGGTGCCAACAGTTCAAATACTTCGTAGTACTGACTGCCAGGTCATGCTTTGTGTTTTTAGTTACCGGTGTGGAATTGGAACCTGTGTCAAGTCGGCGGAATACATTGGTAGCTGTGCTTCCTTATCAGAACGGCTCGATACACAACGGCTCTATCAACGGATCTGTACATGGCATGCCACGTAACGGCTCAATACACACGTCCAGAGCAGCCTCGCCGTTCACTACTACCAACACGCTCATCCCAAACGGCAACTACTTAGAGGCTGGTAGTAGGAATGGCAGTGCAGTAAGTCTACGGGTAAGACATTTGGTCTGTTTTTTATTGGCACTTTGAAAGGTATATGTCTGAAAGTATCACAACCACTCGTCAGTTCATACCAGTCCATATCCAGGAATTTGGTAAATAACATTGTCATCAGCATAGACAGCTTGGGTATTTTCTTAAGTCAGAAATCCATTTCAGTTGTCAAAGTATTTAGAGACACATCTTTAACTTTAAACCATGCATAAGAACATTTGAAGAGTCTCTTTCAAGGTTTGTATTATTTGTGAGTAGACTTTCTCAGTGATCTCACACCCGGTTCCCATCAATCACACCCTTGACCACATGTCCCAGGTGCATGTAGACGTTATAATTGTTTATTTCTCATCTTCAGTTCTTCACGTAAAATACAAACGATTTTTAGTCCGTTAGATTAGTAATTCACGAATATAGGACTACTGTGAGCATGATTTGTATTTCCTGATAACCAATAATTCTGGGTTTTTTTTATATTCAGCATCGTCCAACTTCACACACTGCGCTCTCATCTTCGGTTGTCAATTCTAACGACAAGACGTGCGAGCGTCCAGGAATAACAGTGGTCAATAACACAGACTCAGAGACAGGAGAGGAGGAAACGGCCCGTGTAGTGCAAGGTTCAATGTTGATAGTCCAAAGCAGGCCCACTAGTTCTATGCAGAAGGATGCACTGGTTGAAGTTGGGATAATAGAAGACCCGGTGCACGATTGTTGCCCGCAGGTGTGCACCGCATTTTGCAGTAGGAAATGTCCGTGCACTTTCTACCGTTCCCCAGAGTCATCTGCCTCCTACTCCGTGTGGAGGCGCTTCAGGGAGTTAGTCTGCACAGTCGTAGAAAACAGATTCTTTGAGTGGTTCATTCTTCTAATTATTCTTGTCAGCACAATTACGCTGGTAAGTCAATTTCCCAAAATTTGAACCGATGTTTTTCAGGTTATCCATGAATAAACTGAAAACCTCCTGCTCGGTATTGGTAACCGTTGGCCTTTACGTATTCGTGTGCCTATATCAGTATTAATTGCTGCCCCCTACCTAGATTTTAGTCCATGGTGTTCTGTGCAACCGCTCTGTTTCTTTTCAACTGAAAACTTTTCAAACTACTCTTAAATGTTAAAGTTATTTCTAAATTACAGTTTTTCAATCGATTCTACACGGTAATTGCACTAGTATGCATATTTGCCAAACAAAAAAGTGACACGGGTCCTGAAATATTTCGAAAACACAACTAAACTTAAATTCTCTGCGTCAAATATAATGCATTCAAATTTTCAGAGAACTTATAAAAGTTGGCACTCACATGAAAATGCACAGGACAACTAACGATGGCAACAGATGACTTAAGATGTCGTCCAACATGAATGAAAAAATCAAAATAACATAGACAAAAATGTGCTTTAATTGTTTTTTAAAGTAATGCTTTGTAAGTGGCTTTTATTTCTCAATATTGTGACCGAAGCGACTGTAGATTTGGAGATTGAATTAAATCCTTTCTTCTGCTTCTCTCAGTGTCTGATCATAATTGATGACACGATCAAAACGGTGGCGTATGAACTGTTGTCGGGACACCTCCCCCTTCCTTACCGATACGTTTGCTTCTTTCTGTTCTACCATTCTGGCTCTTTTTCTCTCAAGCAAGAAGAATATTCATTGACAGCCATTTCTGTACTCCTTGTTGCTCGAGATAAATAAATGACTTCCCGAGTCGTTTAGATTATCTGAGTAATTCCTGTGCTACATGAATGGAACATAATAGGCTTCATTTACAGAAGAAAATGCATTCAAATGATATCCGAGCTGAACATGCAATACAGAATGAGACATTCAATAGGATGAAATGCGTGTTGGGCGAATTGAATTTTGTATGGATACATTCTGGAAATATTTCAAGTTCCTTAAAATGCACACAAAGTGTTGTGAGTATTGTGGTTTCTCTCCTGATGATCATCATCCTATAGTTGTATTTATATATACCGTGTGGAAGCGATTGATAAACCGTAACAGTGGTACTATGGTGTCTTGTGTGCGGAGAAGCTAGAAATTCTCAAAGAACAGTTTAACAAAATTAGATAATGCAAAAAGCTCAAGGTACGTAGACTCTTATTTCATTTTTCCCAAATTTCTTTCAGGTATTTGAGGATATTCATCTCCCAAGTAATCCCGGCATGCAAGAGGTGTTAGCCATTTGTAACGTGGTCTTTGCGATTATCTTCGTCATCGAAATGTTGTTAAAATGGATAGCAATAGGATATGTGAAGTACTTCACAAACTTCTGGTGTTGGCTTGATTTTGTCATCGTTGTTGTAAGTCTTAATCTTTCGTTCCATTAAAAAAATCATTTATTTTATATCGTAGACTGATTTTTATAAGTCATGACATTAACACATCAGATGACAGTTTTGCAATGTCAATTTATGAACCTTTTTTATGCATAGCATTTTTACTGTTTTTACAAGCATGAAGTATAATGTACAGCATTTTGCGCATACTTTAGATCAGTCTTTAATGTTATAACTTACACTGGGTAAATCCACCAAGCAGATTATAGTCATGATAATTTGGAAGTTAAAATACATGGCTTAAAGTTTTGCCCCAAATCTTCTGCAGATTGCCATTATGAGCTTGATATTGGACGCCGTCGGCCTGTCTGGTATTGGAGCATTCAGGGCTTTACGAACACTTCGAGCACTACGACCTCTAAGAGCAATTTCACGCTGGCAAGGAATCAAGGTAAGTACTCAAATAGACCAGAGGGGAAAGCTGCCACCTCTAGACCGCATGCCTCTTAGTGCGGAAGCACCAGTCCTGAACTTTCCATAATTCAAAGTATAGCTGCAATATCTTTTGCTTTATATACTGATGTTTGACATCCTACTCGAAGTAAAAATCTGGATTTTTACTCTGAACCGTACATTTTGTTTATACGGTGTTTAGTGTATTAGCAATTTTCATATTTATGAGCTCAGAAGTACTGGAGACATGAAGGAGATGCACATAGCTGCAAGCATATATTAGATATTAGTTATTTCAAATTTCAGACTACCTGGGTTACTTTTATGATCGAACTTTTTACCAGTCGATGAACTTGTTACGTCCAAACCAGTTTTAGGATTTCAATTCTCTTGTCATAAATCCTGTAGTTGCATTCTTTTTAGGGATATCTACCATAAACATAGTGACAGGTAAACAAAGTTATTATTGGGATTTGAAATGAAAAGTACAGGAAACAGTTTGATCATACCATGCAATGACAAACTACTGCAATGCATCAGCATCACACTTACTGGTTTTATAGTTACTTGCAATTACCATGGATGTGATATTTTATGGGTGTGTTATGCTTAGCAAATGTTTATTCATAGTTGAATTTGTATACATGTGTATATTATTACTGATAAATTTAATTACAGATCGTGGTAAATGCACTGGCTCATGCCATTCCAGCCATCGTCAATGTTGTACTCGTTTGCGTGGTATTCTGGCTTATCTTCAGCATTATGGGGGTTCAGTTCTTCAAAGGAACCTTCTCAAAATGTGTCGACGAAGACGGGAACAAGATCAGCATCGACGTTGTAAACAACTTCTCAGATTGCATAAGCCTCAACTATACATGGGAATCCAATAAGATCAACTTTGACAACGTCATGAATGGTTACTTGGCGCTTTTCCAAGTGGTAAGTACAACTTGTTGGATATGGGAATGATCGTCCTACGGCAAGATGTGCGTGGTGTCCAATGACACCATTAACAAAACACAGAGAATATCTTTGCCGGCATGTGGTCGCACAGAAGATTTCAATCCCGATAGATATATGACACTAAGAAAATAACAATATGGAAATAATAAACAATACATGCATACTCCCTTACATGAACTTACACTATCGCGAATAACAAAAACGTTTAAGCAGAGCTGTAGTCGAGGTCACCCCATCTGGGCTGACTTTGAGGTAAAGTCCCGGCTCGAGTTCGAGCCGAACGGTTGTATGCGAGTCCTGGTTTGAGTCCTTTGTGAATCTCAAGCTGTGTTCTCATCAAGTAGTCCTTTTGAGAATTGTATAAACGCACAGATTATAGTGAGTTAGACATTTGATGAAATGAACGAAGAATATTTTGTCTTCCTGAAAAAGAAAAAAAAATCAGGAGCAGTGTCATCATGCATTTTACAGAGTTTGTCAGGCTTATTAGGCTTACCGGAATTTGTGTACACGCTGCACAGGACAGACGAAGTTAGAGGTATAGTTTCGTGCTTACTTCAGAGAACGTTGATTATTTAAAACATACAGTTTGCAGCATGTTTCCTCTTCCCTGTTTTGTGGCACAATTTTTTTTTGTGATTTGAAAATCCATACTTGGTCACTTAGGCAAGCACCAGGATCGATAGTAGGGCCTAAAGGTGCCTTTCCATTTGCGCGTCAACACTTTCGCCAAGCGGCGTTGCGCATTCGTCAAAAACACTCCCGGGGTGATTTTGACGGCCAAACGCAACGCACACGTGTGTAATGTCAATGGAGTTGATTTTTGTGTCCGTGAAAGTGAAACGTATGAACGCATCGTTTCACAGTGCAACTTTAACAAGTATATGTGGAAAAGCGCCTTAAATCAAAATTATGTGAGCATGTTGCTGCACATGCCCCAGCCGTTTATTGTAGCTTTCATATCCTTTTCAAAGTAAAGTTTTTGTGACATTCGATTTAGTGCACGCAGTATATTAGCATATTTCAGTAGGTAAATTTATGGAAATGTTTCCAACTTGAAACAGAGCTGCGAAATTTTAAATCAGAGATTAATCTCGTCATGTAAGCCATACGCCACTAGGCCAGGGAAGCAGGCAATTTGAGTATGATCAAAACAGTCTATTTTCATGGATTACCTAATTAGGGGGTAGGGACCTGTACCACGCATTATCGCAATATCAACCATGTGCAGCCCATTCATAGTCGTATCGGAATATGTTAACCGCATAGGCAGGGTTACGTTGCCCTGGCGCTAGAGGCTCAGCTGGTTCGGAGTTTCTTCTACAAAATTAATATTAGCTTGAAAACTAAAAACTGCGTCTTCATAAAATGAAAAAGCAATAAAACTGAAGGTAAAAATTGCTGGAGTTTTCCAGTCTCAGGCCGATTCCTTGAGATAGTCAAGTCCTCATGGCCAAGATCTTAACTTCAATTGTCCGAGTCCTAGTCCTCGAAATCTGGACTGGAGTCCAGGCTCCACTCCAGGTCCAAACTTCAGTTTCCCGGTCCCTACACTGACAAATGACTTTCTTTCATCTGTAGATAAAAGTTCATGAGCAGGTATACTACACTTTTTAATTTTTTTAAATATCGGAGCCATGCCAACTCTAGCCTGTCCCGGTAGTGAAATCGTCAAAATGCAGATATGCTCGTGCAAGCGGAAGTTAACGATGTTAACGTGAAAACGGCGCAATGGTTTTTCTAACAAAATAATTTTGATCAAATAATATAATCGCACCCAAAGACACTAAAGGGAGAGGTTCCTACAGGTCATTTCAGAAACGCACAAAATATAGGCTTCTCATTGTTCAGATACTGCCAGGCTATTTTGTAAATCGTTGTTGTAATCATTAATCTCTCATTTACTTGTAGGCAACATTTGAAGGCTGGCAGGAAGTGATTGAGGACGCCGTAGATAACAGAGGGGTGGATATGCAACCACACTTTGAAGCTAGTTTGATATCCTATGTTTTCTTTGTCATCTTCATCTTTTTCGGATCGTTCTTCACACTCAATCTGTTCATTGGAGTCATCATCGAAAATTTCAACCAGCTCAAGAGGAAGGTACATAGAGATTTTCGCTATATTTTGCTGACAACTAGCATTTTGTTTATTATTTGATTAGGTAAAGAAACTGACTGATAGGGAGTGTTGTTATAGTATACTTTACAGAGTATTTATACAGTGAATATTCAAATCCAATTTTAGTTGATGTTTTACAGACAACTACAAAGTTCAACATCTATTTAATAATGATTAATTTTTCATTATTCCTTTAAAATCTGTGTACATGTATTTTCATGATTCAGGCTTTGCATTAATTTAATGACCCTTTTCAACTTTGCTACTCTAAAGGATCCATTTATCTCATCGAATTCTGTCGTTCTCCACACCTCATGCATCGCAACTACCGTGGAATGCTATTCAACTGAGCCTTTACACTGCAGTTTCTTTTTGTTCTGTCTGATGAAATAGTGTTGTTTTCTAGAGCGTGAAAAAAACAACGAGGTGGTTTAAGGGGGAAAAGGCGCGGGCTATTTATGTATGAGACTAAAATTAACAGCCACGTTAACCCAATTTGTGCCTGACTTGTATACTTAACTGAAATACGTCCAAACTTTAAATTTCGCGTCGAAGGTGGAATATTTCACTGTAAAATATCATATTTTCTTTCTGTGGTGCTTTAATGTGGGTTTTCCGTAATGCTGGCTCATTATATTTCAAGATGCCAGGTGCAGTTTATTAGGCTCAGAGGTAAAGGTTATAAAGACATCTTAGATGTTTCATGTTAACCAATGCAGTTCTTGTATGAAATTTACCAAGGACCAACCAGACTGATTGGAAAACCATGCCACGAAGCAGTATCATGTGTCTAAAGGTCACTACATGTGTATTGTTGAAATAACGAAAACGTTTTCATTTTCGTTTGCCAGTATGAAGGTGACAGCTCGTTCGGTTTATTTCTAACGAGCAATCAGAAGAACTACTACCAGACCATGAGGCGCATTGGTAACCAGAAACCGACGAAGCAGATCAAGCAACCAACGGTAAGATACAAAGCAACTGAAAATCAGAGTAATTCTTTTTAAGGTCCGACTCACTCTTTGAAGAAGTGCGCGCTTCTAACATCGGAATGGTCTATAAAACATACATCCAAATTGAAAATGCTCAAATTATTTGTGTTTTGGGCTCATTTATTTCTATAATAATGATCGGTTTAAGACGTGCAATGTTTTTTAATATTCAAAGACAGTCACTTGTTTGCCACCTGTTATATTTTCACAACACAAAGTGGTTTAGTAATAAATTAAATGAGATTATCACGAGCGTTATGAAGCATCTTCGGAGACATATACAGAATTCATTTTAGCAACCTAGTTCTGTAGTCGGAGATCAATGCCATGCATAGTTTTCACAATATTTTCATTGACGTACTTTTGATTTTCATCCTGTAATGCTTTCTGGACAATCAGGCCGGGGTGAGTATACGGGCTGGTGTGACTCCTAATTTCATGTGATGTGTTTTTCTAATTTTATAGCACCTAATTGCAAGAATGAAATACTTTAGTGTTCAGAGACATTAACAAAATCAACTCCATCTTCCCTAAGACGTGAGAGGGTCTGCAGTGGTCATTCGGTTAACCCTTGTCACTATACATTTATTTTCTACGATCTTTAATGATGTTCACCATCCAGCGAAGGCATATCATTTGGGCCCTCACAGTAAAGAAGAAAATACAGAAATGTTCAGTTTAGAGGCAGGAAGAAAACCCAATAAACTGCCAAGGAATCAGGAACTGAAAACTCAGTCCAAAGGCAACAGACTCAAGAGGGATGTGAACCAGGGCCGCAGAATGGAAAGGCATGGAAAGACACACTCCGCCAACCAGATCTCCCTTGACTGTATATCATTCATCATTATGCATGGCCCTCCTGTATTTAAGAAAAAAAAACTTGAGATTTTTATATCACATACATGTAAACATATAAACAAGGAAACATGAAATACTGTAAATGCCTATGTGATTTTTGTTAATACATCACATCCCAGCACAGAATGTCAAGAGGATCACACAACATTTTTAGTGTGCAAGTAATAGCTGAGAGTGTTACAAATATTTTCGATATTCTTTTGCAGAATAAGATTCAAGCCTTCTTCTTCAAACTGACAAGCAACACAAAGTTTGAAATGTTCATCGTGTTTGTCATCTTATGCAACATGATTACCATGTCAGTAGACCACTACAAGCAGTCTCAGGAGGTTACAAGAATACTGGATGCTTTAAATATTGTCTTCACTTCAATCTTCACCTTGGAGATGATTTTGAAGTTGATTGGCTTGCGCCTCCATTACTTCCGGGTGCCTTGGAATATCTTTGATTTTATCGTGGTGACTCTTTCCATACTTGGTAAGCGTTGGGACAATGTTTATCAGTTTGCTGTAGATGATTAAGCGTTGCGTCTTTTTGGACCGCCGTAGAAATATATGTTTGAGGAACATATATTAGCAATAAACTGTATTTAACTTAGCGCATCACTTCATTAGCTTTATTATAGAGATCAGAGAAAACCTCCACGCATTTCTCTGCTCTTGTAGAACAAAATTTGCATTCATATTTCAAGTCCTTTATAATTACATCATAATGCGACAGGAATTACTCACTTTGTCAGTATAGTCTAAAACAACCATCACGTGCAGGTGAGGCAGAAAGGAGTCCAGTCACAAGTCCAGTCACAAGTCCCTTCGCGAGGCCAGTCATGAATGACAGGATGAGCAAATGACAAAGGAATGCTTTTGTCGCAGTTCATTTGAATAGCTTGTGAATTGGCTTTAAGACTGAACGACTTGGGATGAACTTACAGGGACTTGTGAAGGACTTGAATTGAATACAACACTGATGTTTAATTCCCACGGCTTGCCCGCGTTCCTAATCAACGTACATTTTTATAATATTTATTTTTCCCAAACAGGCATTATCTTGAGTGACATCCTGACGGACCTGATCAACCCAACACTACTCCGTGTTCTGCGATTGTTTCGAATTGGTCGAGTTCTCCGCCTCGTCAAAGCTGCTAAAGGGATCCGAAAACTCCTCTTTGCCCTCGCCGTGTCAATGCCGGCCCTTATCAACATTGGGGCGCTGCTGTTCCTTGTCATCTTCATCTTTGCAATTATTGGGATGTCTCAATTCGCATACGTCAAGCACGACGGTGCCTTGGATGATGTTGTTAATTTTGAAACATGGATAAACAGCATGTTGTTGCTGTTTCGGTTGTCCACCTCAGCTGGTTGGAATGATGTATTATATCCTTTAATGACAGCCCCGCCCGAGTGCGACGATACCTACATGGGCTACCCGAATGGGAATTGTGGTAGCTATATATTTGCTTCGCTTTTCTTCTTTATCTTCCTCACGATAAACTTCTTGATGATAATCAACATGTACATAGCTGTTATTCTGGAAAATTTCAGCCAGGCCCACGCACTGGAGGAAGTTGGAATAACGGAGGACGATTTTGGAATGTTCTATCAAGTCTGGCAGCGTTTTGATCCAAATGCCACGCAGTTCATTATGTATGACCAGTTGTCCGATTTTTGTGACGCATTGGAGCAGCCCTTACGGCTTGAGAAGCCAAATAACATCAAGATTGCCGGACTTGAACTTCCAATATATGATGACATCAAATTGCATTGTTTAGATGTGCTATTCGCCCTCACAAAGAGAGTCATTGGGGACGTCGAAGAGAGCGACGAATTTAAAGAGTTACAAAAATCGATGCAGGAAAAATTTCAGGACTCTTTCCCAGATAGGACAAAGTCAGAGCCGACCACAACCACTCTGCAGATAAAAAAGCGAGGTACAGCTGCCAAGAAGATTCAAAGAGCATTCAGGCGATATAGACTAATGGTTGAAATGCGAAAGGCATCAACTGCCTACAGGGCCAAACAGAGTATGGAAGGGTCCAGAAGAAATTCGGAGAGTCAGACGCTAGACCTTGACTGTAGTATTAACAGTCAAACGTTCGGCCAGACTCTCACAGTTCCTGCCCAAACAGGCTTAAATAGAAGCAGAACTCCTACGATTCCCGAGGATTGCTCAAATGCACACAGTGACAAAAGGGACGTGACTGTTTATCGCGTAGAAGACACTGAAGACGATGTGCCAACAATCGACGCGACTGTAGAAATCGTTGGGAGTTCTTCTCTTCCGGAAGAAAGAGACTCTAATATTTGAGTCTGGCACCTGGAGGCCACTTATTGTAATTTTGTATATGTTTATATGTATAGTTGCTTTTTGTGAGTAAAAAAATGAATGAAAATAATTACAGCTGAAAAATGCATGGATTACCAAAACAATCCAGGTACTACAATAAATGCCATGAACAAAAGATACATGTACTAATCCCACGATTGTGCAATGTATTTATAATGCATTGCCTTTAGCATAAACGAGTTGACTGAGAAATCGGTAACTCATTATTTGGGAAGTTGAACCGCGAGCATTATCTGGACTAATTTCCCACTCCAATAACATGGAACTCAAGAGGTAACGTTTCCACATTGTTATAGTTTGTACCAACTTTGTTTAATAAACAGGCAGTATGTGAAATAAAATAAAAGGGAAACCTACTATATCACACTTGAGAGCTTTACACAAGTATATCTTAAAGCCACATTATACTGAATCAAACCCAAAGGGGCACTGCAACCAAACACTCTGCTATGTGCAACGAGTTTATAAATTGTGTAGAAATCTGTCAGAAAGCGAATCTGCGGACTGGAACATGCTTTTCAGGTGTGATCTGTTTAACGTTTTGATATTATACTGCAGTAATGGTGTTTGTTTCTGACACAGATTTGCGTAGGTTTTGCACCTAAAAATAACGAAAAGTATAACGTTATACAGGAAATGATAAAAGGAATTTATGTTTGCCAATGACTTATTGCAAATACAAAAGCTTAAATTCTATGAGAGAAAAAGAAATTGATAATCAAACTTTACACTTAATACATTTGGTGTTTTATTTTTTGCCAAGTTCAAGGACTTGGCTGTTTCAAATTCGGGTCGCAATTTAGTGCATTTAACTGTAAAGATTATTGGGTGCGTTCGATAAGCTTACAAGGTGTAAATCTGGCCTGGGGATGGCTATGTGTGCTGTGTCAAACAAGCGAAAGGGTGGGGACGAGGTTAAACCCGAAATAACTCGTGGAAGCTAATCGAACGCTGCCATATTATTGTAAATTGCCTCCTTTATTGAATGGGTGACATTTTTTTATTGTATAGCTAAAGCTGAAGATTCGTCTTTGAAGACATCCAAGCCGATTTTAATGCAATAATCTTTTTAAAAGTAGTTAAAGTGGAGATTTATGACGTTGCACAAGACATTTTCGGTTGAGATTAAAGTAGATTTACTGTCTTGGATAGGTATGTTTACGTTTGGGGTGAACACGTAGTTCTTATTCACAGAAAATGGAAGGGACACACGAGTCCGAGATTTGGCTGTGCTTGTTTGTAACGATGAGCGAAGCTATACTAAGGACATTTAATTTTTAACGATTCTACCGTTTTACAAGTTTGCCCTAGCCAGTTTAAAAATGGTGCCCCTGTGTCTTCCACATTCATCCTCATTGTAAAGAATTTATAATGAAGAGATCCTTCAGTTGACCAGTGTTACTTTATTCTTAACAAATTAAAGACCTATTATAGTTCAAGTTTTATTCTGATGCCAGTGATTTGTTTGTTTGTGTCCGTACTGCGCGGCTGAGACAATGATATGGCAATGAATTGTCCAATGGAGCTTGTTTGTTGATACTTGGAAAATACCTCCCTTACCCTTCTCTTAACATTAAAACAAATTAGAATATGGTCAAACGTCTTGGACTCGCTCTATACCAAACAATTCCCCCTGATGGTATCTTTTTGTACCTTCAACTTCAGTCCCATTCCGGAGTTTGTGTTGGAGTCAGGTTGAGTTTTTTCCTTCCATACAAAATTGGTACTGGTGGTATAGTTAGACATACAGGATAAAAAAAATACGTTGTGGATCGGTCCTAATAATGGAACCTCTTATTGTAAATAACCTGAGGGATCACGAAATATTGATGAGCTCGTTTGTAGAAATGTAGCCATTTGGTGGAATGCACCTTGCAGTGCATGCCATATCGAAATCAAAGTAAAAGTTGAACTTCAATATTAAGGGTCTCCAGTATTTGCAGCTTGTCTCGTTATAACAGGAACCTTATATTATTAGGAATGAAAATATTTGAGAACAAAGGATTTGGGCATTCAACATTTTCTTGATATAAGCAGCATGTGATAACAGTTCTCTTATTAACGGCTATACAGTTAGTAACTTCATCATATATGCGAAGGCACCACTGATTACAAGCTCCCATGGGATGAACTCTCAAGTTGCACGTAAACCTTTGGTTCCTTGGTTCTCTGAATGCAGTCCACTTAATCGCTAGATAGCTACAAGCGAGTGCATCAATATTTGGTTTGTGATCCGATGGGTTATTTACAATAAGAGGTGCCATAATTGGGACAATCCTTGATTACTTCTTATCATTACAAACGTGAAGTTTGAACTTAATCGAACGTATCATTTTGTTGTTCAGGTCATATGAAGTGCATGGCTACATGCGTGTCCGCCTGCGTGCATTGAGCACCACAGTGGAAAAAGTATACATTTAGGCTGACCAGTCTTGGGAAAATGTGTGCTGCATGCGCGAGAACAGTATGTTCGATTTTTGCAAAAATGGTGTTAAAATGACCGCAGTCTAAGAACTCCTAAAGGCTCACGTGCTGAAAAAATATAATGCGTTGATATCAGAAAAAAAATGTCTGGGTGGGTTTCACCTTCAGCTCTTATATGGTTAAAGGAAATCACATTCTTTCAGAATTCAGTCGGCAAAGAAAGTCTACGTTTAAGAAGCAAGTACAATACAGGTTTAATTTTCTCTTTCAACCGTCGCCCAGTGCCCGAAGAGGGCGCTGGGAAGAGCTTATGGCCGTGCACATAACTAGTGAAGAAAGTACGTTACAAGGGGTCACAGCTAACGACGCGCAAAGCACTGCGGATAACCCTTCCAGCTCCATTGTGCCAAAAAGGTACAAATGAAACACCCTTTTGCATACCACTGTACTAGATGAGCACGAAAAATTGCAACTCCTTGGCTTCCGACGTGCCATTCGGGAACAATCCAACAGGAAAATTTGCTAAAGCGCAAGGGCGCCCTCACTTTAACATCCACTTCGGATTGGTCGCCAGACGAGGAGGTCATCGTATGATGTGCTACATATTTTGCGTGCCATGGGTATGTGGGGCGTTAACACTTTTGCACGTACTGAGTAAACAACCAACTGTACTGCAGCCGAAGCATGGAAAATGAAGACATTTTGCGAATGTTGCTGGCAGATTGCGACTCCGAAATGCCGTCCACTGATGCCTGCGATATGCCAGACACTCGGTGCATAAGATGAGCTTGCGGCAGCAGCAAAGTCCTATGTTCGATGTGGATGGAGTGACGCCGGACGTTCACGGCAGAAAAGAGCACTCGTGTTCACAGGAGAGCAACTTGATGAATATTTCCTTCATTTCCATCCAATTTTTTGTTTACGCAACGGTTAATTTCTGGTGCAGTTCATGGGCGCAAATCCCGTAAAGGTCACGTATGTTTCCTGCCTCAACTTAGTTCGCTTACTTATTGTTCAGGATCGTACACTGAACGCCAGCGAGCTTTTGTGAGGAAAACGAGACGTCTGATGAAATTATTTTGTTATTCAATAATCTCATGTAATCAAATATTCAGTAGCCTTTTTCGACGAGTGGAAATTCGTGGATTTCCTCTCTTCCTGTAAAGATAAATCATTATATTCCTGCAACCGGGGTTTTTACAAGAATTCGAAACGTATTAAGGTGAAGCCAGCGCTGAACTCAGCACCTGGGACGTTGCAGGATATCTGCAGGACTTGTTCCGTAGAAGTGTGAGGTTTTGGGGAGATAAGGATCATCATAATGGTGGTGGAGCGTCTTGTAGATTATCATGGTGTATCTTCACGGGGCTTCTTTCCCTTGCTCAGTTGCAAGGCAATGTCCCAGTTTTCCAGTACATGTTGTAGTGAGGCCGCTCAATTGCTGATACCCATCGACAAGCAGCCTCACTACATGCACTGGAGCAACATGTACTGTTCTCACTTTGACATCCAGTATGATCAACGGTAACAAATCATGCAACTGCACACACTGATCCCAAATAATACCCATCAATTTAAAGCAAACCCAAAGTAAGCCTCAGCTTATAGGTGGCGGAGCTTCGAGTGAACCTCTGTGGTTCCCAGTACCGGCGACTAGGCCGGCAGGTTTCCAGCAACCCAATGCCCACACACAGAGTACTACTGCACAAGCCAAACAGCCGTCTCCTAGCAACTTCTGCTCAACCAACAGCCAACTAAGCTCACTCCCAATTTAAGGTAAAAGAATTAGCCTGCCGACAATTACTCTAAAATCCCACCATTCAGCGTTCGATAGTTCGCCACCACACACTGCTATAGTTCGCCACCACACACTACTAGCGACTCTTTGTCTGGAGATCGACTCATAGATATCAGAAGAATGATTTTTTTCTTTGTTATTCTTCTGACTATGGATCAACTGCTCGCAAAATAGCCGACTACGCACTACCACGGTAATACGTGCGAGCGACGTTGGGGGCTTGGTCATAGGTTTCTTGGACGTGAATCATAAGAACTAATCTCTGTGTGTTTCCGTAAAAATAACCGTTACGCCCGCTGGAGTGACCGGACTGGAGTATGTTTTAGAAAATCTCCTTTTTGGTTTTACTTTTTAAAATCGATTTTCTTACTGCTGAGAACGTGGAAAGAGGACATTTATATTTGACCATTTTTTTCTTCTGGGAAGGCAAAAGGATACTTCCGTACGTTGAGGGCGCACTCTTTTAACAACGCACTAATAATATTCGGTGCGTTCGATTAGCTTCCCTGAATACACCAGTGTTACACCAAAGGAAGCCTCGAAATGAGGCTAATCGAACACTGCAGTGTATTCGCCATGGCATTCTGGGAAAATGGTCAAAGGTTCCGCCAGTTTCATCATGTGCATGCTCGAACAGTCCATCCGTGACGTCATTACACTCGGGCAGCCTCCAGAGGCCTGCTCGCCAGCCGGGGTAGTGGTGGCTGACACCAGGGCCGGCACGAAGATCCCATGATGGCTAAACGAACGCTCTCGTGTAAGTTTGACTTATACGCGTAAGCCAATCAAACCAACCCATAGCGAGGCTTTAGGCGTCAGGCCTATTGCTGTATGCTATTACAAGTTTGCCCAAGATAGAACAGGGCACAAATATGAAATAAAAAGACTAGATAGGCAATGTGTGCTTAACATAGAGCGAAATAAAAACTAGAGCGCTGACTCATGTACAAAGTGATGACTGCTAGCATCCATGTTTGTGCAAAAACCTATGGAAAACTCGAAATTTTGTACGGCTTTTGTACAGCTATTTGCATATCTGCGTCTGTATTCTAAAATTATACGTCAGCAGAGCCGATACGCAAACATCCTGCAAAATCAGTAATGATCGTTTCATTTTGCTCTGCTCCAAAAAACACAAACGCGTGCGTGTAAATCAGATTTTATCGGTACCTGATGCGCACGACAGCTGCTGCTGCAGAACCGTCAACTCACTTAACACTGACTGAATAGAGCCTGAAAGTAAAAGGTCGCAGAGCAAGCCTCCAGAACCCTTGGGCAGTCTACCTATGGGGATTTTACATTTGGGCGTACTATCGCGTTCGATAATTTGGAAAAATGATTCCTTACTGAAGCCACCCCATGAAACACTCATGTTGGAATTTTACTTTTGTCTCCCTCGAGTAATATTTTGGAAAAGTCACCTGGAGATGGGTTAAAAAACGAATTTTATTAACGACCTTTCACGTCCGGCGACATCGCACCTAGGTCTCCTCGTTCATACACGTTTGTTTTGACTCGATGTGCTTTCTTGGAAAAAGATTTACGTACCTGCAATCGATGGGTTCCAGATTCCGTTGAGCTGACATCACGCAGTCGTTGTCAGCAAAGGTTCTATAAAATATTAGAATCTTTCTTAAAGCAGAATATTGCTTTATGTTTATTATCTTAGAAATTATCCAAGTATTTAAAATATTTTGATCTGTTTTTATTTCAGCTTTTACCCAAAGATTACCATGAAATTTCAAACTGTAAATACTCATTTGCGAACGAGACTGCCACATTGCACTGTTCTTCATGTATTTTAGATTTTTGGAAGTGATGGGTCAATTTTTGGCAGGATATTTCTCTTTTAGATCAGGTAATTTTTCAGTTTCTACAAATTGATATACTTGTAAATATCTTCCAAAGCCCCTTTTCCGAGTTGGTTTTTTTTTAAAAGAAACTGAACAAAAAAATATTACAAAATCTAAAATCCTTGCACGTTATTTTTCCTATCCAAGGGTTCCAGAAGCGTGCCATCAGGGGGTCAACTTTCAGGCTCTATTGAGGGAACAACTTTTTAATCGAAAGACATGCATACGGAATCGGACGACCTTGCTCGAATGTTAGGGAAACATTCGTTTTAAAATTTTCAGCTGTGGATGTGAATTCACTCGTATCATTGC